CATGTTTGGTTGATATCCATGGGAAATCTGTCCTTTTGTGAACAGAAACAGAGGAGTGGATAGGGGGTGGCAGAGGGGAAGTGGGGGGGTAGGAGGAGAGAAAGGACAGGAAATTGAGGTAGGGATGTAAAAAAAATACAAATAAAAACCACTTAAAAAATTAAGTTGTCATTAGTGCAAACTAATTTGTTTAATCTAAGATGTTAGTTGCAATCCTTAATTCCTAATGATATTCTTCTATTGTCATCAGAGAAGCATTGTCCAACAACTGATGGGACAGACACAGAGACCCACAGCGAAACACTAGACAAAGCCAGGGGAACCCCATATAAGAAGGGGAGGAAGGACTATAGGAACCAGAGGGGTCAAGGAAACCACAAGAACACGACCCACAGAATCAATTAAGCAGGGCGCATAGGGGCTCACAAAGACTGAAATGACAAACACGGACCCTATATGGGTCTGAGCTAGGTCCACTGCATATATGTTACAGTTGTGTAGCTTTGTGTTCTTGTGGGACTCCTAATAGTGGGAGTGGGGGCTGTCCCTGACTCCTTTGCCTGCTCTTGGGACCCTTTTCCTCCTACTGGAAAGCCTCATCCAGCCTTGATATGAGAGTTTGTGCCTAGTCTTATTGTAGCTTATTACTATGTGTTCAACTGATATCCCTGGGAGGCCTGCTCTTTTTTTTTTTTTTGGAAGGGAAATGGGGGAGAGGGGAGGTACAGGTGGGAGGGGCTTGGAGGAGTGGAGGTAGGGGAAACTGCTTTCAGGATGTAAATTATAAGTACGTAAAGAATTAAAAAAAGATAATCAGGACTGGAATAAAACACACACACACACACACACACACACACTGATGAGGGTGGGAGGGGGAATCAAAAAGTTAATTAAAATGACATACTAGACAAAACTAATTCCATAAATGAACGAATAAAATAATAGATGTAAATCCTATCTTATCAAAATAACCCAATACATTAAAATAAGCAAGCTAAAAACCTCAATCAAAAAGGCATGAGAAGCTATACCCATAAAGTCTCAATAATATGGCTGCCTAAATAAGACCTGCATGATACAACCACTAGCTGACATGCCAACCAACATTTGCAACACTAAACAGACTGAGTAGGTTTTGTATATAAACACACACACACACACACACACACACACACACACACACACACACACACACAATCAATTAATGTATGTTTATATATAAATGTTGTACAAGACTATATGGACTGAGCAGGTTTTATATAAAAGCAAACATACAAACACACACACACACACACACACACACACACACACACACACACGTAGTCATCAATTTGAGAGGGAATGGGATTTAGTTTTGATCCACTCATCTGGTAGAATGATGTATTTTTTGTATATTTATAAATTCCCCGTGTCTTATTGATATTACTTTCCTACTTTTATTCCATTTAAAATAGAAGTATTGAGTGGATATCTTTACTTTTTCTTCTCTTGGTCACAAAATTTCTAGAACTACTATAATATTAAGTATTAACATATATATATATATATATATATATATATATATATAATTTTTGAAAAGAATGTGAAGGTAAGTAAGTGGGAAAAAGGATGCTCCTTTGAGCAACTGGTGCTCAAGCATTCATAGAAAGAAAAGTCAATCTCATTCTAGATCTCATGTTATAAAAATACCAAGTCAAAATGGATTAGCAGTAAATATAAATGTGTAATTATAAAACCACAAGAAGAAAATACCAGAAGTCTTTTACATCAACGGGTATTAGGCAGAGTTCTTAATTCTTACACAGATATATGTCTGCACATACAACTAATAAACTCAAGAGTTCAAAGCATTTTCTCTGAGGAGCAAGATCTATATAATGAAAGCTAGAAGATGCAGTTGAAAAAAACTAAAGAAATCAAAAAACGCAAATAGCAGGTAAGCACTCATGCTCATTTAGAAGACTTAATATGGCTAAGAAATCCTCACTAGCCTAAGCTCTTTCTCTACACATTCAATTCACTCCCTACCAAACTATCAATGATTTGATTCTGTAGAAATAAAAACATTCTACTCTAAAATACACATGGAATCTCAAGGGACCACCAAAATAGTCAAGACAATGTGAAAAAATACCATAAGTATTACAGGTTATTACTTCCTGATTTTAAAATTTACTACAAAAATTGAAAGAGCATGCTACATTCCAGGCACAGTGGTATACACCTTTAATCCCAGCACTCTGGAGGGACAGGCAGGCGAATCTCTGTGAGTTTGAGGCCAACCTGGTCTCAAAGTGAGTTCCAGGACAGCCAAGGCTACACAGAGAAACCCTGCCTCGAAAGCAAAACAAAACAACAGCATGCTACTGGCATAAAGCCAGACGCATATACCACTAATGAGCCCAGAAATCAACTCTCATCCATAGGGTAAATGATCTTTGAACAGAGCAGTAATATCATTCAGTGCAAAAAGACACATATACCATTAAAGAGCCCAGAAATCAACTCTCATCCATAGGGTAAATGATCTTTGAATAGAGCAGTAATATCATTCAGTGCAGAAAGAATAGTCTTCAAAAAGTGGTCCTGGGAAAATTGAATAGCAACAAGTGACAGGATCCTTATCTTAAGCCATATGCAAAAATTAACTCAAAATGGATCAAAGACCTAAACAGCGCAAAAACCATAATAGCTCAGAAGATAACATAGAGGAAATGCTTTTTTATATTGAATTTGGTAATGACTTCTTAGATGTGCTAACAGAAGCACATGATAAAGGAAGAAAAATGAGAAAACACCATGCATTAAAGGATACTATGAAGAGTAAAAAAGCAGAAACAGAACAAGAGAAAATATTTACAAATCATGTATCTGAGAAGTGACTGATATCTAGATACTTGAATGGATATTTATTCATAGAAGTTACATGGCCAAATAGTATATGAAAAAATACATAGTAGCACTTATTTGGGAAATGCAAATCAAAACCATAATGAGATACATCATGCTGTTTAAACTAGTGATTATCCAAAAAGAGAAAACCCAAAAAATAACATGTGTTCCTGAGAATTTAAAGAAATTGAAACTTTTGTACATTGCTGGTAGGAATACAAAATGACAGTCTGTATAGAGAACAGTAGGGAGTGTCATCCAAAAATTAAACATAGAATTATTACAAGATTCAGCAATTCCACTTCTGTGTATGTACACCAAGAACTAAAAACAGATATCAAACATTTGCACACCAATGTTCACACCAGGATTATCACAACAACTACAACATGGAAGTAATTGAAGTGTCCACTGATGAATGAATTGATTAAACAAAACAGTATATATATACAATGGAATATTATGCAGCCTTAAAAAGGAATGGAATTCTGATACATGCTACAATATGAATCAGCAATGAAAACATTTATGCTAAGTAAAATAACCCAATCATAAAAGATAAATATTGCACAATTTTATTTACACGAGGTACATAGAACAGTCAAATTCACAAAAAGTAGAATGAAAGTTGCTAGAAGGCAGAGGGTATAAGCTAAGTTAAAGTAGCTTTTAATGTGTATAACTTAAAAAGCTCTAGAGATGGGGGTGGTTATAGTTAGAGAATATGTTAACACCACAGAAGCAAATACTCAAAAATGGTTAAAATAGTAAATTTGATGTTATGTAAATTTTAGCACAATTAAAAACATACTACTAAAAGAATGAAATGACAAGCTCCAGACTGTGAAAAAATATTTGTAAAGCACATATCCAATGAAGGACTGTGTTCAGCATATATAAAGAAATCTCAAAAGTCATTAGGAAGGAAAAGAAATCCAATGGTAAAATGGCAAAGATGTGAACAGAAACTTTAGCAAACAGGATATAATGATGGCAAAAAAGCACACGGAGAGATGCTCAGCATCATTAGCCATTAAGAAAAGGCACATTGAAACAACAGGGAGGCAACACTTCACACCTATCAGAACAATCACAATAAATACTGACAATACCAAATGCTGACAAAGATGTAGAGCAAGTCAACTCTCATACACCATTGGTGGGAATGCAAAATGGTACAGCCACTCTGGAAAATGGTTTGGCAGTTTCATATAAAGTTAAATGTGCACTTACCATATGACCCAGTAATCCCACTTCTAGATATTTACCTTAGAGAAATAAAAACTTATGTTCACACAAAAACCTGCACAAGAATGTTAATATCAATATCATTCATAAAGACCATAACCTGGAAAACCCAAATCCACTTCAATACATGAATGGATATGGAATATCCATACAATGAAATGGGACTCCACAAAAATGAATGAGTTATTGATAAAAACAACAACTTGGATGAGTCTCAAAAGCATTATGTTGAGTGAAAGAAGCCAGCCTCACAAGGTTACACACTGCATGATTCCATTTATATGACAGTCTCTAAAAGATAAAGCAGAAGTAATGGCGATAAGTGATTGCCAGGAACTTGTGGGGAGCAATGGGAGTGACTCTAAAGGGGATTGATAGTATGAGGAGAGTTTGCCTGAGTGATGGAGCTGCTCCCTCTCTTGATTGTGGTGGTGGATACATGAAATCTACATGATTTTCAATTCACAGAATTGTACACCAAAAAAAGGCCCCATGCAATTTTACTGTAGGTTCAGTTAAAAATAAAATGCTAGTTATAATTATTATCATCATCATCATCAATAGTTATACTGACTAATGATATTCAGAATTATTTGTGCAATGGGATCTATAATTCAGCACGAACAATGTATGTCTGGTACAATAAAGCTATAGAAGTAAAAACAAACTAAATGTAAAATCTTGACAACTACTAACTCCTCTCTTTAATATTTCATATCAGGACAATATGTTCTCTCTAGATAATTTCCTATAAACATTGTCATATAGTGAATATGGAATTAAATAAGTGCTCAACTTAGAAGTCTGGGACCCTAGTTTACATTCCTAAATCTAACACTGTAAGAAAACTCTCGACTTGCCTTTTGTGCCTAATTTTATCTTCCTCTTCATTGAGGTCATGTACTTGTCTGCACTTGTCTTTTTGTGGTATGCTGTGAAGGTTTAAAGTAAGGAGTTTCAAAGATAGGAAACAGAACAGAGACACCCCCCCACCCCCCACCCCAATAGCAGGTACTACTCTGATTTCCATGTATTACCTCACTTAATTGTCCTAACAACTCCACATCACAGCTATTATTGATATTCTCATTTCACAGAGAAAGAACTGAAGTATAGAGAGGTAGCCTTATCAGCATTTCACAACTAGTAAGTGGGGGAGCCAGGTTTTTCCCAGGCAGTCTGCTTCCAGAGCCTATGTCCACATTCAGTACGCCATGATGTCCCAGCACAGAAAGCTGTTCATTTGTTCCTTCCTCCCTTACCACTGCCCTGGCACCTGTATAGCCTAGCTTTAACACACCATTCAATCACTCGCATGACTTTAACATATAGACCCAGTTCTGACTTCTCTCCTCAGCTTTACTGCTTCATTCCTGCATCAATATCTACATATGCTAATCCCGCCACCTTCACAAATTCAATCTGTTTAAATGAAATATACCATTTTTCTTCCAAATGGCCCCTAAAGACTGAATTTTACCCACTGTTAAGTTAGCCAGCTTTGAAATATCTGAGTTATCTCACCATATTCCTCTCCACTTCGTTCTCAGTCAATGACCCTCCTCCTTCATTCGCAGTCCATGGCTTTATCAATTCTTCTTGTCACATCACGTACAACTAATTCCACCTTTCCAGTTCACTGTCGTCACTCTAGTCTAGATGTTGATAACTCAATGACTTGAATGCCATTCTTTCTCTCCCCTCTCTAATTCTTTGTTGGCCAGCACATTAATCATTTTCAAATACAGCTTTTATCATCCTACTATATTCAAACACATGAACCAAACAAACTAACTCCATATACCTCTGTCTTATCAAACGAATAAGAGCCAAGAATTCTGAGCTACCCTTTCAAGCTGATCTCTTAAAATGCCCCCAATTAACACTGCTCACACCAATCACTGCAACTGAAATGCTATTCTCTCTCCTGTCTAACAGATAGGGTTAAAAGAGTATTTAAATCTTACCTCTTCTGAGGCCTTCTTCACTCACACCAATACAACTCTGAACTTCTGTGGCACTGAGCCAGTATATCTGGCATTACTGCTAAAGGGTACATGTATGCATCTCCAAGCCGACTAGTACAAGACTAGGAACCATTTCTTAAACCTTTTCTGTGTACCTTCCACCATGCCGAGTAAAATTAGCTGCTAAAAGAATTCTTTCTGGCTAAGACACATACCGTTTATGTATGCATTTTGCATTACTTTACAGTTCAGTCTAAAGACCCATCACAATCTCACTTTACTTCCCTTTCATGTGTCAGACGTCATTCTCCGCCATACTCTGTTTCACTGCCACACTGAACTTCTCACTTTTCCCTACTTATACCAGGTCCTTTCATAGTATGGCTCCTATCCATTCACTAGCTGTAATGTCCTTTTCCTTTTACATAAAAAAATAATGCCTGTTGCTTTGTTAAGATAGTACAAATGTCAACCTCTGACTCCCCCAACTAGATTCGGATGCTCTGTGTTCTATGCCACCTTGACATTTGATTAAACTCTTTATAACACTTCCAATGGTGTCATGCAAGTAACTCTACACACATTTGTGGCACTCATGGGACTATATATTTCTCACGAGTAGTAACATCTTGTCTTTCACTAATTCCCCCTATCTAATGCCCTGATGTTAAATCTTTCTTTCAGTTAAAGAACATTTCAGAGTCAGTGAGGATCCCATACCTTGGTAATAAAGAGCCTTAAGGAAGGAGTGACGATCAGTTCCCTGAAATAAAGACTTTTCAATTTCCATTTCTCGCCGGGTCAGCTGTTTGCTCTTTGAAAACCTCTGTGGCAGGCAAAGGATGCGCTGGCGCTCTGAGATCCTTTCTTCAATATCCTGAAGCCGTTTCTGTATTGCTTCAGGAGTTGCCCTCAGCTTTGTCCTCTGAAACCAGGGTAATTAGATGCTTTGTATCAAAAAACACAAAAGTAAATCTGAGACCTCATGTAAGAAAGAAGATGGGAAAGGCCCAGAAATTGGAAGTGTTTTTGTAAGTTTTAGTTAAGGGCTAGCCAACAACTTCTCTTTCGTCAATGTTTCTATCTTAAAAACAAAAGTTTTAGACTCAACACTCAGTTTCATGAAAACTAAAAACAACAAAGTTCTCAATGACAAAATAAAGCAACCACCATGTTGGGGAGTTCAGCTGTTCCTGCTTGCCGAAGATCATTCCAGCAGGACTGCTTGATGGTTTACACACCCCGGCAGAGAGGCATGGGGCTGGGCATGAGCTTCTTCTCTAGGAAGGGACTTGTGGCTATGGGAAAGCCCTCACTGGTGTTGAGTAAGGCTTTCCAGGCACAGCTCACTGCAGGAGGAGTGCCCACACTCCTGTAAGGAGCCCTTTACCAAGGCTCTCAAAGGGAAGCTCAACAGACTCACTGGTTCTCTAGAGTGAACTTTGGCAGAACTGTGCCTTAGTTTATCCGTTTGTTGTTGGGATCTTGGGAAGATGGGCAGATGATGCTTTAAGTCTCCCTTACGGAAGGAATTTTATCAACACAGGCACACACACATGCATAAATGAAAATAAAGAGATCTTTTTAAGAAAACAGCTTTACCTTTTCACCTGAAACATGGCTTTTCCAGATCAATATTTCTGTTTCGTTGAGCCCTAGTTCCCTGAGAGAAGCAGTTTCCTGGTCTTTTTCATGTAGTGTCTGGAACTGGGACAAAGTCATTGTCCCAGCTGCTTCCTTCCCAAAGGGCTTGTACATAGTACCTGGGGCAAAGCTCTCTTTCTTAGAGACACATCTGCAAAACACAAAAGAGAGTAAGAACATCTGGTGGCAACAATTCACAGTAACCACATTACAATTGTGATGGGGCCTATTATAATGGGTCCACTGAAGCGCATAGTCTGTCTCTCTTACATTCTTTTGCCAGGGTGAAGCACCATGGCAACAAAACGGAATTCCATGAACAGTCCCCAAATATCCAGGACTAATAAATGACTAAATTAACAAAGTTTACTGAGTACCTGATATGCATTAGATGCTATGTTCTGTACTGAGAGATAACAGTAAAAAAAAAAAATCAAGGGGCTAGAGATATGGTAAAACAATTAAGAGCTCTATTGCTCTTGCAGAGGACCTGGGCCAGTTCCCAGCACCCACCTGGCAGCTCACAACCACCTCTAACTCCAGTTCCAGACGATTGAAAACACTCTGGCCTCTGCAGGCAGTCGCACACATATGGTTTACATAAATTCCCCCCACTCTACCCATACACACAAAATAAATCTTCTATAAAAATATCAAAAGAACTGGCACCTATATAAAGAATAGCAGAAGGGAGGCAACTAAATAGGAAATGACCATATAGAATTATAAATGCCATGTTAGGGGAAATACAGGGTGCTTTACTAGAACAAAGTACTTGGTCCAGGCTTAATAAGATATAGGAAGCTTCCTACAAAAACACACAAAAGCAAAATCTGACCCATATAAAGAGGTCTTCCAAAGAAAGTGGTCGTGTGAGAGTGGAGTGCTACCATCAGGCTTTAAGAGAGATGTATAACCTGCAGGTGAGGGTCTATTATAATCTCCCTGTTTACAAATCGATACTCACTCTTCAATGGAAACAGAGGTATCAAGTTGATGTTGAAGGAGGCTCTTCAGCTGCCTCTCACCTTCTGTTTCCAGCTCTTCCAGGACATGCTCTTCATTCTTCACACAGCTATTTACCCTGGAGCAGATGTAAAACACACACCACACACTCATAAACAAAAACAAAGGGAAAGTAGAAGAGACGTGTAATCTGAATATATTCTCCTCATCTATATTACCTATCAGTGATTCATTTGATCAAAGGCATTTCTTCAACATTCCACTGCCCTGGGTATTCATTACACAAACATTTACTGAATGCCTATGTACACAACAGGCATTACGCTAGCTACTTGTCCTGGCTGGTTTCATGTCAAATAACACAAGCCAGAGTCATTTTGGAAGAGGGAACCTCAATTAAGAGAATGCTCCCATCAAACCGGCCTGTGGGCAAGCCTATGGTATACTTTCTCGATTAATAATTGATATGTGAGGGCCACACTAACTCTGTGTGGTGCTACCCCTAGGCTGATGGTCCTAAGTGCTATTTAAAAAAAAGCAGGCTGTAAGTAGCACTCCTCCATGGCCTCTTCATCAGCTCCTGCTTCCAGGTTCCTGCCCAGTTTGAGCTCCTGCTCTGACTTCCCTCAGTGATGGACCATGACCTGAGAGCTGTAAGCCAGAATGAACCCTTTCCTCCCCAAGTTGCTTTTGGTCATGGCATTCTGTCACAGCAACAGAAAACTTCACTAAGACGCTACTTGTGGAAGCTAAAGATATTCCGAGCGTAGTTTTGATCAAGGTATTTCTAATACATTTAGGAGAAGATGTATATACTCCTGTGCTGTGTACATGTGCCTACAAAGAGAAGGAATCTGAATAAATAATGATAGAGAAACATGCCCAAATTAGTAAACGCTTGCAGAAGAAAGGGGCAGACGGGAGCTAAAATAGTAAAGAAGATTTCAGAAAGAGATTCTTAAATTGGTGTTTAAAAGACTGGGTGTGACAAAGAAAAGAAGTGGGAAGCCAAAATATGAAAAGACAGAAACACATAATATGGTATAATTGAAACCTCCATTTATATTCAGGCTTTGAATAGCCTTAAATACATCAACTAAGGGATTCTGGACCAGACCTGAGCATATTAGGTATTAGAAAACAATTTATCATGCCATTAGGTGTCAAAGAGTAAGCAGTGTTTTAGGCCATATGGATTGAAAGGTAACTAGAATAACTAGTTAAGAAACCACTGAGGTAAAAGGCAAGGAAGTTCCAGACCAGGGCAGTAATAGCAGAAATACAAAGGAGGGATTAAATGAGAGAAGTCTTTTGGAGGAGGATGTTAAGAAAGTAAAATACGTAAGTAAGTAAATAAATAAATAAAAACACTCAAATTTCAAACTGTTGGTACAGTTTGATAGAATGTTGGTGCCAATGAAGGAAAACAACTCCAGATGGAATAAATCCCTAGGAAAGGGAAAGGCAGTGTCATTAATACCCACACTGCCTCGACCAACTCTTACAACCTGAAACGTTGGCATCAAGTATACTTCCAAGACACTGAGTCTGAGGTACCAACAAAAATGGCTCGCTAAAAGGAAAGTGAATGATGACACATTCTTACAGGGGGGACAGTCTGAGGGTGACCAAGAGAAATCTGAAGCCACCTGTGTACACAAGATCTGAAGACATTAGGAAGTCTGAAGGAAGAGCAGGGAATCTAAAGGGTGTCTTAACAACTCTTTAGCCCAGACACTACTGTGTAGAAAAGCGGATCATGGCTGTGAGGCAATCACAAGTCACTGAAAACTCTTACTAAGTACCAAGAAATAACACAACCATTTAATCATGTAATAATAGAGTAGGAAAGAAACAAACACAAAAAGTGAGCTAAATCCATGAGAAAAATAAATATTACGTTTCTTACAAAACAGATAAATATTACATTTCTTACAAAATAATAGCAAAATACATTATAGAAAAATTACTATTTCTTACAAAACAGACCTGGGGTTTATAATAAAGTATAGGAAAATCCCTGTAATTATAAGATTCCTATAAAGACCTGGATCTATATTTTAAAAATTCTGAAATAACTTACTTTGGAACTAAGGCTTAAAAAAAAACTCTTTAAGCCTTTCTATCTTTATGATTTAGAATCCCAAACAGTTATTGCTAAATTTAATTTCTAAAAATGAATACGCATATCAACACACATGAATCTATAGAAAAATAATGTGTTAAAAAAAAAGCTTGCTCCAGAAAAAGAAAGACAGTATGCTCCCATTTATATAAGGCTAAAAACCAGATGAAACTAGGAATATTTTGTTCAGGGCTTAAACTCATATGTGGAAAATAGATTAAGAAACAAAACAAAGCCGGGCGGCGGCGGCGGCGGTGGTGGCGCACGCCTTTAATCCCAGCACTGGGAGGCAGAGCCAGGCGGATCTCTGTGAGTTCGAGGCCAGCCTGGGCTACAGAGTGAGTTCCAGGAAAGGCGCAAAGCTACACAGAGAAACCCTGTCTCGAAAAACCAAAAAAAAAAAAAAAAAAAAAAAAGAAAAGAAAAAAAAAACAAAACAAAAAAGGCAAGGGAGTAATTGGTGCAAAATCCTAGATAAAAGAGGGAGAAGCAATTAGGGAAGAGCCTGGGGGGCTTTTTTAAGGTATGTATGTGAATGATGTCCTACCACTTACACCTGTACAGAATTTTATTTTTGATTATTCTTTAAGCTATACATTAGATCCATCATTTTCACGTATGAGGTATGTCATCACAGAATAATTAAAATGTGATTTTAATTAAGGCAGGGGAAATCAATAACTCAAAAAAACTCAGGAAACTAAGAAAGCAGAAAGCATTCCTAAACATGTCAGTTGTGCCTCACTGTTCCAGAGTGAAGATTCTCCTGCAGAGTGAATCTAAACTAAAGTGGATCCTTTCTGAAGGATTCCCGTCCTGTCGGTAACTGTGAAACTCTGGGTCTCAAGGAGGACCGTCTCGGGTGCAAAGGGCCATTTACTACAGAACCGGTAGGGGAAACTGCCCAGAAGCAATACCTTTCTTCTTCCCAAACACATGGAGCCGGTTTTGGAGAAACAAACTATCACTCTCTAACTTTAAGATCTGAAAACACGACCCTGTGTGGCGGGCCCACTAAGTCTTTAAAATGCAGACAATGTAAGCGCCCACCCTGAGACCCTCCGGACGGACGGTGAGAGCCTGGGGGGCGGGCCAGGGAGGAGCTGGCTTGTTAGTCTCCAGAGCTAGGAATGTGATAGCCAAGGCAGCTCCGGGGGCCTCTGCCCAGAGGGAGGCACTCCTATGGAAACCGGCCTGGCCGCGGCCCTTCCAGAGCTTCACCCAACAGACTGGTCCGGCCGGCCTTCCCTCCTCCCTTCTCCTTTGTCTTCTCGCTAGAGAGAACCCGCCCCTCGAGAACGTGACACATCCCAAACAAAAGGAAAAGGCCATTTTCAAAAAGTAAAAGATAAAAGTTGCCGCCTGCATCTCAGACATGCCCTTACCTCTTCATGTTTCCGCAGGCCCCTAACTTGGGCAAATAGGCCCCAGACCTCAACTCCCAGAAATCTATGCGGCAGACTCAAAAGATGATGGAGGTGGAGCAAGGGACTCTGGGAATTGTAGTAACACAGAGAAAGCCAGTATTGGGTGCCGAGTATAGTGTAAATTAAGAATTTCTAGTACAGGTTAAAGAGAACACCCAAAATATAAACCTCATGAACCTAGGATTCACCTTTGGCTTCTTGACTCTTCCTCCGAGTATCAATAAATCCTAGATCTTCTCTAATCACCTTCGAATTTGTTCCTGTCAGCAAGGCTTCTCTTTCAAGGATTTATCTGACCTACCTGCTGTTTCCAGTCAAGCCTACAGTCTGACCACATCACTTACACTAATGTTTTTCTCTTATCTGTAACAGATCATTCTGAGTTCCCTGAGTTCAAAGTCAGAATCAGTATGTACCCAGGTGTGGGGATATTTTGTTTGTCCTCTAACAAATATCAGAGGACCGAGCCACCCACTAGATTAAACATAGAGGCCAGGCAGTGGTGGCACACACCTTTAATCCTAGCACTCAGGAGGGCAGACTGCAAGTTCAAAACCACCCTGGACTACACAAGATTAATCCAGTCTAAAAGAGAAACAGTCAGGCGGTGGTGGCACACACCTTTAATCCCAGTACTTGGGAGTCACAAGCCTTTAATCCCAGCACTAGGAAGATTGAGACAGGAAGTGATATGACTGGGCAGAGAAAGGAACATAAGGCAGGAGGAAACAGGAATTAGAGCCCTTTCGACGGAGGATTCAGAGGCATTCAGTCGGAGGATTTGTGGAGACAGGATCTCCCCTTTCGGCTGAGGAGCTGGCGAGGTGAGAAGTGGCTGTGGCTTGTTTCCTCTGATCTTTCAGTATTTACCCCAATATCTGGCTCCAGGTTTTTATTATAAGACCATTTAGGATTCATGCAACACCCAAGCTTTTGAGTATCTTATTCATAAACACATTGAATCAAGAGTTAGATATAGTAGGGGCTGGAGAGAGATGGCACTTGTTTCTCTTTCAGAGAACCCGAGTTTAGTTCCCACACAGTGGCTCACAGCTGTCTGTAACCCCAGTTCCAAGGATCTGATGCTTGTTTATGGGACACCAGGTACACATATGGTGCACATACATACATGCGGGCAAAACATGCATAAACAGAACATATTTTTTTTTTAAAGCTCCATATAAAAAAGTGTTTAAAAGCATTGGTGTTAGTTTCTCGGCTGCGTTGTGTTCTTACCCTGCAAGGAAATGCCACGAAACACGACAGAATCCGCTAACAAGAGTTTTATTAAAGGTAAAGGGACAGAGAGTGAACAGGCCTGCAGGAAACACGTGTGTGGAGAAGAAGGAGGAAGAAGAAGAAGAAGGAACTGGGAACATGGCGCCGGATTTTAAAGGCTGGGCGTGGAGAGATCAGCGTCACTACTACACGCAAGCGCGTAGATCACATGGCCACGTTGCGCGCCTACGTAGCCAATGGAACGTCACGGATCTTGGTCACGCGAGATGCCCTGACCCAGAAATGGCTATCCTGACCTGGAACTGGCTAGGTGGAAGTGTCTGTTGGGCATATGCGAACACGCCCGACCGTGGGGGGCGTGTTGTAAACCTTTCAATTGGTTCTTGGGTTTAGGGATGTAGCTCAATCTGTAAAGTGCTGGCTTGGTATGCACAAAGCTCCCAGTGTGTGGAATACTTGTTTGGCTAGACACCAAGTTCAAGACAAGTCTGGACTACATAAGACCCAATTTCAAAAATAACAACATCAATAACAAAAACAATCAAAGCATGTGTTCTTAATGGCCAAAAAAGAAGGAAATGCAAATATCCCTAAACATATGGAAAGAAAGATGTTAATTTATAAGACAGAAATTTCAAGCTATATTACATAGTTCAAGGCCAGGCAGTTCTACATACTTAGAGACTCTCTAAAGATCAACAAAAACAAACAAAGCCAAAATATAAAACAAAGTGCAGTGACCCACCTGTACTCCTCCAAACTGTCAAGGCCATAAACAAAGGAGAATTCTGAGACTATGTCACATTCATAAGGAAACAAGGGAAAGATGATTTCTAAGTGTATTATAGGATTCTGAAACAGAAAGAGGACACTAGGCAAACATAAATAAACTATGCTTTCTATTTAATAAGGTTCATTAGCTGTGACACACTGTATTGTGTAAGATGTTAACACTAAGTGAAACTGATCGGAAATACGTGGAACAGTGGATATGAAGCTTTTACGTAAATCTAAAACTATTCTAAAACTTATTATTTTTTAAAGGTACCCTAAATAGCACTTTTTTTTACTTACTACATAGGAAAGGATAAAAAAAAGACAATGCATTTGTTGACATTCTGGTGAAACGGGCACTCTCACATACTGCTGGTAGGAGGATAAATTGGTACAACCTCTGCAAAGAGCAACTTGATGTCACAACTGAAATTCCAGTGCCCATTTCCTTTAAAGCAGCAATTCAACACATCTACAAATACTCTTCTCAACACAATAAATACTCATCTATGTGCATTGCTGTTCAATGCTGTCTATAGCAGAATACTGGGGGGAAAACCTTAAATATTTAAATGTAGCCAATGAAGTCTATGTAATAATGAAAAGGTGGTAAACTTCTCTGGATTATTACAATCTTTAAAAATACCTAGTAAAATAGCAAGTTTCAGAATACCATATAGTACGCTTACATTTGTGTAAAAGGTGGAATATGTATGTGCCTGTACATGCATGAAATATTTGTGAGAACATATGACATTCACTGTCTCCATTTAATATTCTCCAATTAACAGAACTCAATGGTTGAAGGACAAGAACAGAAAGAAAAAATACAACTAAATTCTTCATATGTTTTGTCCCTATTGAAATTTTTATTGTTATATTGAGACAGGGTTTTTGTATGAAGCTCAAATTGGTCATTACCTTGTGATCTTCCCACGTGAGCCTCACAAATATTGGGGTTACAGATGTGTGCCAAGCATGACCTTTTATCCTTTGAATATTTTGTTTGTTTTTAGAGACAGGATTTCTCTGTATAACAGCCTGGCAATCCTGGAACTCTCTTTGTACACAGGCTGGCTTCAGACTCGTTGAGATCCTCCTGCCTCTGCCTCCCAAGTGCTGGGATTAAAGGCCTGTGCCACCACTGCTCATGTCATTTGAATTTTTAACTGTATGACTGTCTCACCTAGTGTGACTGGTTTTGTGTGTCAACTTGACACAAGCTAGAGTCATCAGAGAGGAATGAGCCTCAGCTGAGGAAATGCCTACTTGAGATCCAGCTGTAAGGCATTTTTCTCATTTAGTGATCAATGGGGGAGAGTCCTGGGCTGCTGGTCCTGGGTTATATAAGAAGATGTGCTGTGCAAGCCATGGGGAACAAGCCATGGAAAGCAAGCCAGTAAGCAGCTCCCCTACATGGCCTCTGCATCAGCTTCTGCCTCCGGGATCCTGTGCTGTTTGAGTTCCTGCCTTGCCTTCCTTCAGTGATGAACAACAATGCTGGAGTGTAAGCCAAATAAACCCTTTCCTCGCCAACATGCCTTTTGGTCATGGCATTTTGTTGCAGCAATAGAAACTCTAAGACACCTGGTTGATTCTTTTTTAATTAAATAGAACCCTTCTTATCTCAGGAGCCAGGTGAGAAAAAAATATCTTGTAGACTTTGGGGTTCACACTACTTGGGTTTAGATTCAAGTTCTTGGTCACTGACTATATACCATAATAGAGTTTTGAACCAATCTGGATATTAAAATTTTGTTTTGCAAAGTTAATGGAATATGAGTTTCAGCAAATTTCTTTAACTGGTTTAATTCAGCTTCCTCATAAGAGGAAGTAAAGTACATAAATAAAATGATACCTCAGTGGTTCTCAACCTGTGGGTCACGACCCCCACAGGGGCTATATATCAGGTATTTACATTACAGTTCATAACAGTAGCAAAAATATAGTTATGGAGCAGCAACAAAAATAATTTTAGGGTTAGGGGTCACCACAACATGAGGAAAAGGGTCACAGCATTATGAAGGTTGAGAACCACTGCTTCAGAAAAATAGGCAACTGTGAAGCTTTATGTAAAATAATACTTTTGTATGCTTTTAAAGCTTTTCCATGACAGGGTGGTTATTTATGAGTAAATATTCCAAGGTTATCCAGCAAGTTCACACTTGCTCAAAGTCCTTGAGACTGTCATGTTCAAGTCAGCAGCTACTGGAACAAAATGAAAGCTTTAGAATCACACTTCTTGAGAACTTCTAGTAGATTGAAAATATGGCAGGTATTAAAGTAATCCAAAATCTACCAAATGCAAATGCCAGTGCTCTAGAAGCACCCTGGTACAGAAATGCAAATACAACATACATCACTTTGTAGTTTTGACACAGACTAAAGACTGCATGTAAGTATAAACAAAATGTGGGTCACATCCTCTTTGAGTTGGGCATACTCTTTAAAGAGGTGGGGCTTAACTCTGGCATTCACCCAAACTGTCTGCCTGACAAATTTGTCAATAGGGAAATGGAAACACATAGCAAGGTTGTTAGTGTGCTTGACTTCTTGGAAGGGTGGATCATTTTACCATCACAGTAAGTTTGTCTAGTTCTAGTAAAACATAGTCTACAGATACTGGAGGGACACACACTTCAAAGCAAATCTATTCCCCGGTGGGGTGAGTGGAGAAGGAACGACTAAAAGATAGCTACATGGCTGTGGAATTGCAAATGGATAGCAAGGTTGTGAAAAGTATTCTACGTATCTGTATATAACTGCAACCAACCCCAGTGGTAGGTACCAAGGGATGTCTGGAAAACTTCACTAGAAGGAATGCTGTTGTACTTCTAGCTCTGCCAAACTAAGATGTACTAGCTATTCCATTTTCACAGCATCCCTTTCCCCATCTTAAAAGCGTATCAGTCTGTAAAAAGCTTTTTAAGACCTTAGGAGTTACATACCTTATTGTGAGTTAATTTCAAAAATTCCCCTCTCAAATTTATGACAAACTG